CACTGAAAATGTGTCAGGAAATTAGAATACACAAGATGTGGATAATTAAATTTGCACTTCAGGCATATACTGTAAATTAAAACACATTAAAATTCATAATGTATTCATTAAAAACTAAATAATACATACATGCACTTTTTGACCTCATGAACACTGGACCTTTTGATAATGCTGGTAACGTTAGCTGTGAGTTTTTCATTTTTATTTAGCGTTTTTTTGCACTAGTGTTTAGTGGCATTTTGCCACGATTAGCTGCGTTTTCCCACGATTAGCGTCATTTCCCACGTTTTTCCACATTTGCACTTTTTTTTGCCTTTTTTTACCCCCCCCCCCCCACAAAAATCCCAAAAACACCGCTTTACGGTGTTTTGCGTTTTTAGAGTGTTTTTTATACAGCTAACAAACTCCTCTAGAAACCCTTAGTTCTGGGGGTTTTTTTCCAGCCAAAAAACGTCCCAGCCAAAAAATGTTGCTTAGTCTATGTTTTCATGTACACATAGGATAACATGCTGGGGGGTTTACTGGCTGTAGAAAAAAACATCAAAAACCCAAAACAGCAGCTGTAAAAAACGTCAAGTGTGCATGAGGGCTAACATAGAACTAACAAAAACCTCAAGTTTCAATATTACAGTTGTGACTACAAAAAATCACATCCAAAAAACACGACCCTAGAAAACCAAAAAACATTGTGCATATAATGCTCCTAAATCACACCAAACGTACAGTATACAGTATTATTGTCCACAGAGGTCTGGTGTAAGGGTTGCAAAGTCCATAAACACAACTCCTTCTTCCCAAAAAGCTTGATCTGGTGTTCAAACACTCAAAAGGCTCCCCAGATAGATATAACCACGTATTTCAAAGTTGGTCATAAAAATGCATGGAAAACAGACCCAGGCACATCCATTCCCTCTGTGTTCTCCTATTTCCTACTCCAGTTAGCAGTCTAAGGGAATGGTTCCCCTCTCCCCTCATCATCATACACCATACAGTTAAAAAGAAACAATTTCCATAGTGCAAACATGTTTATGCAAAATACACTTTTATTAATTGTAAAATTGCTTACTTCCATGAAAAATCCTTAGTGTAGTATTTTGGTGGTTTCTATTGCAATTACTGTCAACTGCAATGTAATTCAGAATAATATTTTAGGTATGTTTAATTTTGACTATATGTTAGAGGCCAGTTCAACTGTTCACATTAAAATATAAAACATGAGTAAAATAAAACATGGCACCTGGCCCGGTCTATAACTGGCTTATGAAGCAAGGACTACGTGAACCGGGCAACGCATGTCAGTAATAAAGGAAAAATGATTCAAAAATCAACTTGCCAACAATCAAATTGACCTGTCTAACAGTATGCATTAACAACACGAGTTTAGTTAGCACACATTTGCAAATACATACATAAGCCACAGAGCCACATCATGGCACCCTGATATTCTGTGGTCCTAACTCTACAAATTTGAGAGTCCCCATAGTAGAGGCACATGCATTTAAAGGATAGACCAGGGGCAGGTGCACATGAAGGGAGCCCACTCCTATTAAAGGCACAGGAGTGCAAAGAACACCCAACAAGTAGCACAATGGCAGCCAGGGCGCCCAGTGCACTCACTCACCTTAAAAAACAACAGTAAAATAAAACATGGCACCTGCCCCAGTTTATAACTGGCTTATGAAGCAAGGACTATGTGAACCGGGCAACGCATGTCAGTAATAAGGGAAAAATAGTTTAAAAATCAACTTGCAGCCAGCTTGCCACCAACCAAATTGACCTGTCTAACAGTATGCGTTAACAACAGGGGTTTAGTTAGCACACATTTACAAATACATACGTAAGCCACAGAGCCACATCACAGCACCCTGATATTCTGTGGTCCTAACTCTACCAATTTGAGAGTCCCCATAGTAGAGGCACATGCATTTAAAGGATAGACCAGGGGCAGGTGTACATGAAGGGAGCCCACCCCTCCTAAAGGCACAGGAGTGCAAAGAACACGGTTTGATGGTTGTGCCATTGATCATGACAGAGAAGTCAGGGGGAGGGGCACGTGGGGGAGGGAATATTATGAGCTTGGTTTTGGATAGATTGAGTGTGAGGAAGTGATGTGACATCCAGGCTGATGTCGGTCAGTAAGTTAGTGATACATGAGGAGATGTTGTGATGTTGTGAGCTAAGGGGTAGAGAGGTAGATTTGGGTGTCGCCAGCATACAAATGATATTGAAAGCCATGGGAGGCTATCAGCTGACCCAGGGAGAAAGTGTAGATTGAGAATAGGAGAGGTCCAAGAACAGAACCTTGGGGGACCCCAACAGAAAAAGGAAAAGGAGAGAAGGAAGTAGAATTGTAGGTGACACTGAAGGTGTGGTGGGATAGGTAGGATGAGAGCCAATGAAGAGCACAGTCATGGATACTAAGGGAGTAAAGTGTTTTAAAGAGGAGGGGGTGGTTAACCGTATCATAGGCAGCTGAGATGTCCAGAAGTAGGAGTACAGAATAGTGTCTATTGGTTTTTGCTGTTGGTAAATCTTTTGTGAGTTTTAGGAGAGCAGTTTCTGAGGAGTGTTGAGGACAAAATCCAGACTGAAGGTGATCAAGAAGGTTATTCTTGGTCAGGTGGTTGCTCAGTTAGTTATAGATCAGGCGTTCAAGGATTTTGGAGGAAAAGGGAAGCAAGGAGATGGGGCGTAGGTTGTTAAGATTGGTGGGGTCCGAGGAAGGCTCTTTAAGCATAGGGGTGACTAGTGCATTTTTTAGAGTGTTGGGGAAGAACAGCCTTTCTCAACCAGGGTGCCCAGGCACCCTGGGGCGCCTTGAGGTTTCTTCAGGGGTGCCTTGGCAAAATTTCTAAAAATTGCCCAAAAACTTTATACAAGCCAGCAGGTGGAAAAGGCCTGCCTTTTAGTTACACAAAGCCACAGGTTTTCATTGTGCACCATTAAAAACTTCTAGCCACCTGTGTCCTAATAACCAATGACATCATCAGTTGATAAAGAGGATGTCAGCTGCCTTGCACAGCATCCTAGTTTGACTTTCCCCTGCCCCTCTCCATCAGTGCTGGGGTCACATTAGCTCAGTGATGGAGAAAAACTGAGGGGAAGGAGAATCATTGGAATACTACTCAGTACCAGTGTGCAAAAATGTAATTGCTTTGGAAGAATAAATCACCTCTAATATTGGGTGTCCTATGTGTTTGGATGTTGCTGCATTATATAAAACTATTGGAATAGTTTTTCACATTTTAGAATGGGGTGCCATTTTAAAATTATGGACAGTCTTGAGGAACCACATTTTCGAATGGGGTCCCTCAAGACTGGCCATAATTTTAAAGAGTACCTCAGGACTGTCCATAATTTTAAAGGGTACCTCAGGACTGTCCATAATTTTAAAGGGTGTCTTGATTGGAAAAAGGTTGAGAAACACTTATCTAGAATTTCATTTGTGTGCAGCCTATTAGAATATACATTGATCTGATTACAGGAGCAAGCATTAGGATTGTGAAAGATCCTAACTACAACCAGAATGTTATTTAGATAGTTGCATAAAAGAGAAGTTGTTTTTTTTCTGAATGTAGGCAGAAATGGAAAATTATAGATGTCTACAAATTAAATGGACATGTAATTTGAAAGAACAGTAATTTACAAAATGTGTTTTGAGGCAACTAAAACTTTATTTTTTTTTCTACAATTTCTATTATTAATGGTATTTGCAGATATTAAACATTATTTAGTTGTAAATGCTGTATGATGCAACCAGAATAGTGAACATTTTGCAAGTCTGTTCACTTTAAACAATGAAATCATTTCAAGTGTTTGTTTTATTCTTCTGAGATTAATATCAGGCAACCTGAGAGTCTCTGGGGGGAAATTACTTCTATATAAAGAATGGTTACTCAAGTGTAAATACGTTTGATATTATACAGCATTGCACACAGGTAAAGTTACATCTTTTTCATACATTACCATAATTATAACAAGCATAGACAGTTTGCTTTCATATAGATTGTAAAAAGATTGAAAATGATTTACTGTACTTTTGATCACTTGCAAAATGCAAATAGAAATTAAGCACAAAGGTTCCATACTAAGGGAAGCATAAAAAGAAAAAAATCTTATTTAAAAGAAGAGGCGTGGAAAACAAATGCTACATCAAAATGAAAGAAGATATTTCTTCAACTTTTGTTTACCACATTTTACAGTTAGATCTCAAGTAGACAATTTTAATTTCTTGCATCTGATATATGTAAATAAATGTTAATTATCATCTCATTAGCAGCACATTGATCACAAATGATGATCTAATTTACTAAAGGCAGCCAAATAAAATTTAAAGGAAAACTGCCCTTTTTCACAAAGTAAAATGATATATGTATTTGCTACACAAGCCATGCTGTAATTTAATTTTATTAGGAATTAATTTAGCAATTTCAATCTACAGTTGTTGTTATTTTCTAAAACAGCCCCTGCAATAAGGCTCAGCTGGTGTATAAAATGCCCCAGAAATCTAATTTTCCTCTTGTGGCATTGGCTCACTGCTTTCCCCAAGTTTTTACATTTAGATACTAGTCAAAATTCTGTTTTTCTTTGCAACAGGAGGTTCAACAAAACTGAGTTTCCACCAGTTGTTTAAAATGAAAGCAGATTCTACAATTCAGAAAGGATATGATGAGTGAAATAGCTATTTTTTTAGAACAGAAACCAAAGGTAATGATTTTCAAAAACTATGGTCAAATCCTTGTAATATCCTAGATCAGACTATTTTTCAAAACTGACACCAACCATTTGCTATACCAAGAAATAGAAAGAATTAAACCATATGTAGTTTTTGTTTAAATATCTTTCAAATGTCAGCAAGAAAATCAAGTCTGGACGTGAAGCCTGAAAATTCTACATGTGATACTTATTTTCAAATTTTGGGTATCAACATTCACAACACCCATCAAGTTGTCTTTGCTATTCTACTGTCTGTAGCCTATCTACAAGTCATCATAGCCAATATGTTAATTATAGTGCTTGGATGTGGATGTCAGCAACTGAAGAAGCCTATGTACTTCTTTCTTTTAAATCTGTCCATGGTTGATATTTGTTTTAGTTCAATTACAATGCCTTGGGCCATCTACTTACTCCTTGCAAAGGACAAGACAATATCTTTACCAGCTTGTGTAATACAAATGTATAGTTTCTTGGCCTTCACAAGCTCTGAGTTCCTTCTACTGTCAGCAATGGCCTATGACCGCTATGTAGCTATATGTGACCCATTACATTACAATGTGACTGTTAACAAGAAATTATGTGCTATTTTTGCCTTATGTTGTTGGTTACTTGGCTTTGTTGATACCCTTCCCCATGCACATTTTGCACTCTATGCATGTTATTGTAAAGCTAACAAGATTAATCACTTCTTCTGTGATCTTACTGCTTTGATGAAGCTTTCTTGTTCTGAGACATACACTATAGAAATGATTACATATGTGGAAGGGGCCTTTTTAGGATTTGGTCCATTCTTGCTTACATTGACTTCCTACATCTTCATTATCAAAGTCATTTTTAAAATCAGTTCTACAGAAGGAAGGTCAAAAACCTTTTCAACCTGCTCTTCCCACCTCATTGTGGTGGCAATATTTTACAGCACTACCTTGAGCATGTATGTGCGACCCACATATTCATTTTCATTAGAAAACAATAAGGTGGTGACTCTGGTTTATGTAATTGTTATTCCCTTCATTAATCCTCTTATTTATAGTTTGAGGAATAGCGAACTAAAACAAGCAATAATAATGAAGTTTAAATTAAATTTGTTTAGAAGAAAAAAGATGTCTTAGAAAATTATTCTAACATTTTCAAATATTTCCAAAGGGAAAGACTTTGCCACTTACTGTAAAAATAGCAAATAATCAAAGAATTTAAAAAAAGGACAGGATAGTCTTCTTGCAACCAATAATATCCAGAATTATAAATAGTAAATCCTAACAGAACAATATTTCAATACAGTGGACTCAGCAGACTGACATTGTTTGAGGAGTCAGGGAGGGGTTAACACGATTTTTGTATTCCTCCTGTGTAGCAAAATTGGCAAAAGTTGCATGGGGTTTGTTTTGTCTTCCTCTGGACCAAAGGCTGGAAATCTGAAAATGTTGTAAACATTTTTTTTTTTCATCTTACAGTAAATCCAATCACTAAAATCTCTTAAAGCTTTAATGTGCTAAGTAATCTAAAAAGTACTGTCCATTATTTTTTACATTTTTATGTTTTATTAAAAGAATACCACATAATGCTACAATGATGGTCATTATCTGGGCACTTCTTGTTACAGGATGACACACGCTATTGGTTTCCTAACCGTCCTCTAAAGTTTTCACCTTGTTACATAGGTGTCTGATGGAGACTACAAGTGTCCTTGCTAAGGTAACATTGCACAGGCATAGTCCAGTGTTGTCACCATCAGGAAACATACTCTAAAAAATAATTTGTAGAGGTTGCTGAAGTGCATGTAGACAGGAAGTTCCCCTTTGATCTCTCTGTAATTACATGCATGTGGTAGAATTTGAAACTGAATATTTCATAATAGCTTGTATTTGTCAGGTATTTTAAAAAACTTCCACTGTCAACTGCCAGTCTGTGCAGCTTAACCACTGGGTGTTGACAGTTTTGTGCATGGCTAATAACCCTGCATTGCACCTGTTGGATACAGGTCTCCCAAAATTGAAAAAAGGGAGAGTTTGAGGTAAGCACACCACATTGCAAAATGCTTTAGCAAAATAATTGTGTTAGGCATAAAGTTACAATTGTACAATAGGTACAGGTATGTCATATCACATCAAGCATAATAGAGCATAGGTATTTGCACCACTGTTAAAGAATATGTAAATCCAACATTTCACATTCCTGATATGTACCTGCTGTACCATGTAGTTGTATGAAAATGTATCCTGTACTCTTTGTATTGCTTCCTCTGTGTGAATTCCCTAGTGTTTCTGCCAGTACCTCTGCTTTTCTATCAAAAACTGACCACACTAGGCATGAGAGCACAGCATGGTCAGTTTTTCCTTTTTAAAAAGGAAACATATTTATAATTTCATAAAGTATACACAATGTTTTGCCTTTCACTAAACAAGTTGTTTTACATGCTGAGGGTTTACATATACTTTAAATCCAGCCAACAAAAATACATACTGTACATCTGTAGCCCTACCCTCAAAGGAGCCACTGGCGATAATGGGTCCTCTGTTCTGCCATGACTCTCTAAATTGATTTGCCCCCACTGACACACTTGGTCATATATTGAAGCTATCTACATCTTTGAATGTAAGGGTTAGCAGCCTACCACTCTTTTAGAATATGCAGGAATAAGGCTACAAACAGCTTGTCATTAGATCAATTGAATGTATTAAGGCAATTCAGTGTACTACAGTGTAAATCAACAAACAGACACAAGAGCACTATGCTTGAAAAAACAGGCTATGGACCACTAACTAGCATTTAAAGAACTTTAACAAGGCTAATTTGAGTTATAACTAGATAACTAGAGTTTCTAAACAAGTTCAGAGGAATAAAAAAAGGGGTCTTGGTGTATATCTTGTGCATACAATCTCTTTAACCTAGCGTTCCTAATGTGGGGGTACCCCTGAAGGTGGTAGAAATTACCTGGTACCTAGTAAATCATTTTAGCCAGCTTTCGTGGGGCCCTTCTTTAGATGGTTCACTGTCCCTTTAAGAGTATTAACAGATAACAGAGGCTATACTGCCAAGTCGGAACAGTCTCTGCTGGGTTTTTTTAGAACATGTAGTTCAGCTCACCACTCCCTGATAGGTGGCAAATCCAGTCCCAGTTGCTTGACAATTAACAGCACCCAGCAATTGGGTCCCAGATCCTCACACAGGCCTCAGTCTCTCAGCTCAGATCCCGAAGATGAAGTGATTCTCTCTCTTGATTCAGTCTCTGAAGGCAGTTCTAGCAATCTCGGGTGAAGGTCTGTCCCCTCTCCCTAATGTTGAAGAACAGGCACAGCAACAGGTCCTCTTAGTCTTCTCTAGTGGCTCCAGTCCCTCAGGTGTGAGGCACAGACCCTGACAGCAGGTCTGTATGTCCTCGTTGCTCTCCTCCCTGTACTGTTGTGATAAAGATCAGTTTGCCAGGGAAAACAGTGAAGCTTCTTCTTCAGGTACAAGGATTTATAGGAACTGAAGTCCAGAAGCTTGTAAGTCCTCATTCACAAGTGTGGTGCTGCACCCCTTTAAGAGCTACAATCCCAATCTTCCATAGTGCCTGCACAGTGAGTCCCTTCTGATGCTTCCATTTGCTCTATCTCTCCTGCCCTCTGATAGGATCCAAACTGCACTGCTGGGAGGGAGGAGGGAGAGCAGAGAGTGACTGAAGGATCCCCAAAAAAAGTATCACGTCAGTACTCAATTGTTTCTGTTTTCGCATTAGAAATTATGCCAGTCAGACTAAGGGCAGCTTTAGACAATATGTGGCATGGTAGAAAATAAAAGTGGGTAGTCATGTTTGGAAAAACTGTACTGGGTTGCTGGAACATTTTTTTTTTTTATTATACAACATTTCCATAAAGCCAACAGTTTGTTCAGCACCTCACACAACAAAGGGAGACAATACACTTGCATTACAATTCAATGCAAGAGGGTTCAGAGGATTTGTGAGAGTTTCCAATCTAAAAGAGAGCGGCAAGGAGTATAAAACAGCGGACGCATTCCTACTGATGACACTCCATATCACAACAGATCGCTCTGGATTTGATTTGAATCTTAAGTTTCACCCATATACCTTAACGCAATATTATGGATCCCAGCCACCAATAGATATACAGACGCAATCTAAAAGCCTGGAATGCAATCTAATTCTCAACATCCCCCCAAAAAGATCTCTTCCCTTATATTTAGATCAACCATTGGCTTACCATCACATAAAACAGGTAAGAATCATTTCATCCACCATACCAATATCAAAAACATATGCCTTGACAATTCCACACCCAAAGGGAAATCTCTTAAATTTACTCACTACTTAACTCTCTGTCTTCCACCTCTGCCAGCTATTATATTCAAGAAAGACACAATGGCCTAGGACCAGAGAAGTGCCCAAATGCTTTTCTAATATTTCAACTACATAGCCAGTGTATAAGTTCAAGACAAGATGGTGCCTAATTTTGATCAGAGTAGCGAATTTATATACTTCATCCCTTAAGTAGTGTGTCTATGGCTGCTAATCAGGTGGTGATTTGAAACACAAGAGGTTTTCCTGCCCTATAGTAATCAGATTCTGGTCTGATGTGTTCTGCTTTTCTCCTCATTGTTCCACGCCCATATTTGACCCCTGGCTCAGACTTTTCAAAGCAAAATTTGATGCCCTCTTTCTTAGCCAACACAATTAATTTAATCTTTATGGCAAGCAAACAAATTGTAACTGCAGCCTGGAAATAACACAGTGTATGCTTCCAGCTAGATAAAGCTGTGTCTACGAATTCATGATTAATTAAAAACTATCCAGCATCATTAATGACAAACATGCAAAAATCCTCAAAGTATGGACCCCTGGTTAACATAGGAAATAACGTAAGTCCATTCCTCCTCAGATTTCTAGAAAAAAGGCATGTCCAGCATTTTTCATCATCACTTAGGACTATCTCCCCATTCCTTCTTCTGAGACTCTCCTCCACTGAAATGTCCTTTTCTACCATCACCATTATCATTCAACCAAAACACATTAACCACACCTTTCTCTTCTTGACCCACACTATCATTCCCCTGCCCTCTCTTGTGTACCTTATAGCCTGCCCCACCTCAAAACTCGCCTAGTCACCTTTTATTCACACATAGCATGGCTTATATTTTCAATGTCCAATGTACCCAATGTACCTACACACCCCTAACACATTAATGAATACCATAGCTTCACACACCTGCCCATACATTATGTGCAGTTTCCTGTACCAATGCTAAACTTTTATTTTATCTCTTGGTTTTGCAAAAACCTTCAATAAAAATATTGGAAAAGAGTAGGAATGGGTGAAGCACAGCTTTGTGTACTTTTATGGTAATTGCTAAACAGTGATACACATTTCAACCCTTTCTTACCAGCAGCATGCAGTAGCTCCTAGTTGTAACTAAGATGGCTGTCATCATTTTATAAAATAAAGTGCAAATGTATATCATATGTGTTGTTTATTATTATGAAGATACAGTACAAACCAAATAATGAACATATGGCCAAAAAAATAACAAAATAAAATAAAGATACTGGTGATAATGTGAGTTCTGTGATAATAATCACAAAAAGTGCCAAAATTACCATGCTGAGTGATAACTCCATAGTAAATAATGAGCTCTGTGACACCTCCACTGAATCCCCCAAGGGTGTGCTCTCATCTTAAAGTATGACTCTCACAAAAAAATTCAAATTAGCATAGGAAATCACAAGGATTAGATGTCCACAGATAGTTTTTCTCATAAGAACATTCATGAGGAAGGCTATTGTAACAACCCTTTATCATCACAGGATGGCAGCAGAAACCAAAGGTGGTTGTGAACCCAGTCTCTGGAGAGGATTGCATGTCACTCAACTCAAAGAGAAAACCACATCATAGTGCTCACTGCTAAAACTTTTTTATTAGATCAAACATAATATGCACTCACTTGTACACAAAGAATTGTAGGGCATCACGGAACAAATGAGAACTAACTCTCTGCCACAAAGTATAAACTTTGCTATATGTGTAGAGCCGCTGCTTGTAGATGGATTCAAGCAAGAAGTCCGTAGTGTGTATGTCTCTCTCTTCCCCACATCACTAAGCCCTGCCCACTCTCTCCCAGATTACTAAGCTGCTTCTTGGGGAGCTTAGTGATCCAGAAGAGAGGCAGACAAGCACTGCAGGCTGCTTGCTTGGATCCATCTACAAACTGCTGCTCCACACATGTGACAGTGTTTACACTTTGTGTCAGAGCATTAGTTCTCATTTGTTCCTTGATGCCTATAAGTCTTTGCATAAAAGTGATTGCATATTTTATTTGATCTAATAAACAAATTTTAGCAGTGAGCATTACGATGTAGTTTTCTCTTTGAGCTGAGGGGCATGCAATCCTCTTGAGAGACTGGGTTCACAGGTGGCTGATTTCGGCTGCCATCATGTGATGATAAAAGGTTGTTACAACTGTCATTTTAGAGGGAGTTCTTATGAGAAAATCATTGTGTGGACCCTAAGGTGAAGCATACCCTTGGGGGATTGAGTGGAGATGACACAGCATTTATCATTTACTGTGGAGTTTATGACTATATAATCCTTGTGATATTATCACTCAGCACGGACATTTTGGACAATATCATAATTAGAGATGAGCGAATCGAACTTGGCGAAGTGGAATTCGTTTTGAATATTAGGAAAAATTCGATTCGCATCGAATCCGAATTTTAGCAAACTTCGGATGCACGAATCGAATTTTCCCCGATCAGCCGGCAAAAGTGTCACTGCAGAGAGCTCCGCTATTTCTGACAGTTCTGACAGTTCAGTTACAGCGGTTGAAACATTGTATCTATTTGTTTCCATTTAGGATACAGATGTTTTTATTCGGAAATAAATAGATACAATGTTTCAACCGCTGTAAATGAACTGTCAGAACTGTCAGAGAACTGTCAGAAATAGCGGAGCTCTCTGCAGATACACTTTTTGCTGTACTGGAATTCTTCTTCTTTTCATTCTTCTTCTTCTTTTCATTCTTCTTCTTCTTCTTCTTTTCATTCTTCTTTTCATTCTTCTTCTTCTTTTTTCATTCTTCTTCTTTTCATTCTTCTTTTCATTCTTCTTCTTCTTCTTTTCATTCTTCTTCTTCTTTTCATTCTTCTTTTCATTCTTCTTCTTTTCATTCTTCTTCTTCTTCTTTTCATTCTTCTTTTCATTCTTCTTCTTCTTCTTTTCATTCTTCTTCTTCTTCTTTTCATTCTTCTTCTTCTTCTTTTCATTCTTCTTTTCATTCTTCTCATTCTTCTTTTAATTCTTCTTTTCATTCTTCTTCTCATTCTTCTTTTCATTCTTCTTCTTCTTCTTTTCATTCTTCTTCTTTTCATTCTTCTTCTTCTTTTTCATTCTTCTTTTCTTCTTCTTCTTCTTCTTTTCATTCTTCTTCTTCTTCTTTTCATTCTTCTTTTCATTCTTCTTCTTCTTTTCATTCTTCTTCTTCTTCTTTTCATTCTTCTTTTCATTCTTCTTCTTCTTCTTTTTTCATTCTTCTTCTTCTTCTTTTCATTCTTCTTTTCATTCTTCTTCTTCTTCTTTTCTTCTTCTTCTTCTTCTTTTCATTCTTCTTCTTTTCATTCTTCTTTTCATTCTTCTTCTTCTTCTTCTTTTCATTCTTCTTCTTCTTCTTTTCATTCTTCTTCTTCTTCTTTTCATTCTTCTTTTCATTCTTCTTCTTCTTCTTCTTTTCATTCTTCTTCTTCTTCTTTTCATTCTTCTTTTCATTCTTCTTCTTTTTCTTTTCATTCTTCTTTTCATTCTTCTTCTTCTTCTTCTTTTCATTCTTCTTTTCATTCTTCTTTTCATTCTTCTTTTCATTCTTCTTCTTCTTCTTTTCATTCTTCTTCTTCTTTTCATTCTTCTTCTTCTTCTTTTCATTCTTCTTTTCATTCTTCTTCTTCTTCTTCTTTTCATTCTTCTTCTTCTTCTTCTTCTTTTTTCATTCTTCTTCTTCTTTTCATTCTTCTTTTCATTCTTCTTCTTCTTCTTTTCATTCTTCTTCTTCTTTTCATTCTTCTTTTCATTCTTCTTCTTCTTCTTCTTCGTCGTGCCCCGTGACTGCCCAAATGAGTGAAGTGTGCGGTGATTCTAAGATCGACGGCACTCATCTGCATGTCATACTGACTGACAGTATTATTTCTCTTCCCCAGCAGACTCCAAGGGCATTTAAATTAAAGGTACAGTGTTCTGCACTAATATAAAGGCTCTCTGAAGCCTAGAAATCCTTTAAATAAGTTAAATTCGCGGCGAATAAATTCGCATCGAATCGAATTTCTCCCGCAAATTCGGCAAATCAGCCGAATCGAATTCTTGAATAATTCGCTCATCTCTAATCATAATGTGATATTCTAACAGGACTCACATTATCACCAGTATCTTTATTTTATTTTGTTAGCATTATTTTTTGTACATTTTCATTATTTCGTTTGTATAGTCAGAAGAACTTTTCTTTTCATCGGGTTTATACAATGAGTGCACAACATTTTCAAAGAAAGTTTATTTTTGCATTTCAACCCAGGTTTTAGATAGATTTCCATTTGTAAAGTAAAACTAAGCTGGGATATTTTACAATTTTCAAATGCTGAATAAGAAATGGGTCAATAGGTATTTTTTGTTTGCAGCATTTGTAAAGAAAAAAACATAGTGTACTGAATGTGTTTTGTTTTCTATTTTTCCCATACATACAGTTATATACATATATAATTATCTTATTAGTTTCTTTAAGGCACATTTGACATCTTTGTTTCTCAAAGTATAAATAAGGGGGTTTAGCATAGGTATTACACCTATATTTAACAGTGATATAATTTTACCATCAGTCAAAAATGTCTCTGATGGAGGTCGTAAATACAGACAAAACAGCACTAAATATAACAACGTTACAACAGTAAGGTGTGAGGAGCAGGTAGAAAAAGCTTTGGATCTACCACTGGTAGTACGAATAGCCAAAATATTTTGACCAATGAAAATATAGGAGATTAGTGTCAGAAGAAAGCAGGGTATGCCCAGCAGTGCCGCCGCTATAAATATGATAATCTGAATTCTCAAGATGTCTGAGCATGAGAGCTGCAACAAGGCCATTACATCACAATAGAAGTGGTTGATTTCACAAGAGCTGCAAAATTGCAGTGTCGATATTAGAATAGTGATGGGCACAGTGAAAATATATATAGTTATCCAAGAAAAGAGAGATAAGAAAACACACAGCTTATTATTCATAATCAATAGGTAGTGTAATGGTTTACAAATGGCCACAAATCTATCGAAAGCCATGACTGCCAATAGTATATATTCTGTACTTTGAAATGTAAGAACACAATGACACTGTACCATACATCCTATAAAAGAAATTTTGTTCCCATCCACAATAACATCAAGTAGCTTTGGTAAAGTTACTGAGGTGAAGGAGACATCCAGGAAGGAAAGATTACTGAGAAAGAAGTACATTGGAGTGTGCAAATGTGAGTCCATGTATATTAGTAATGTTATCAGAATGTTACTAGACTGACAGGTAAAATACATAATAAAGATACCAATGAATAAAAGAACCAGAGTGTCTGGCTTATGTGACAGGCCAATTAAAATAAATGTTTCTCCAGTAGTTTGGTTGCAGATCTCCATAGACGTACAGACTAAAGTGCTAATATTAAAGAAAAAGAGAATTTGTAGCATTCATTTAGAAGCTGGGGTACAAGAGGTAAAAATGCCTACAACAATGAATGAAAGATGAGCAAAGAACACATGGATCTTGTGCAATTAAATAGGTACATTTATAAGGTAGAAATAAAAGTGGCAACTCAGAAGATTCACAATGAAAACAGTGGATGAGACTTGGTGGTTGTCAACATCGTTAGAAAAGACTGTCTGTCAACATCTTTAGAAAAGACTGTCTGTCTGTACCGTTGGCACAACACAGACCTGGTCGTAAATAAAGGATAAATATAAGCAAGCGCTATCTTAGAGGAAAATAGCCGCTGAAACACCAAAAAGGCATCCAAATAATCCTTCCCATGGGGGCTACAGCAACTGGACGTCTAGCCACCGGTGGTGGCCATCCTGAATCCTAATAATATATGGTCAGCGTCCTTTGCATTTTTTCATGTATGTCATTGCACCTTTCTTTGATGGAATAAAGTTCCCTACAGTATCACACTATGTGGTCTCCTTTATGGGTCCCTCTTTATGAGGGCCATCCGCAGAGTTTGCTTTAAAGGTGATCCCAGATGGTGATATGCATCAAGGACCCCTGAGTACTCCATGCAGATGTGACCAGGAGGTGTACAGGATCCTGACCTGACCTGGGAAGCAGTTGACCTGAGCAATACCTGATGAGATAGGTTATATCTCAAATGTGTGTTTTTATGCACTTCTGGTGAGTGCGCAATTTACTTACTTCAGATTCATACCTGCCACCTTGGATCAGTTTTCCACGCATGCTTATCGGGATCATACAGGATCCTCACGTAGGCAGCTTTATCTGGGACTTTTTATGCACTAAGCACTAAGCTTGATTAATTGGACCCTATTATAGTCTTTCATTGATCAATAGTTCCTCAATTTATGGATAATGCACCACTCTCTCCTTTTCTGAACCTTAATATCAGGTGGTTTGGCAATTGCAGCTCTCCCATGAATGTTTTGTGGACACAGGCTTTGGAAGACTGAACTCTCTATTCATTTTTGCAGCATTGGATTATTATTATTTGGGTCAAAATCCTGCACAATGTCCTTTTGTCTCTTTCAGTTAGTTGACCATGTCAATCACGCTTATGCTTCTCAGATGACATTTTCCAGGAAACGTTACATGCCTTCATGATCTTTGATACTACACCTCACAACACCGCAAATAAAATTGGCAACTTCAGTCACAGAGGCACCACCTAAGCGGGCACCATCAATTTACCCTCTTTGAAACTCAGTAAGCTCTAACTTAACTCTCGATTACTAGCAGTGCATGCAGTAAATGAAAAAAAAGTGAGACTTCCCACCTGTTAGCTAGGTGTCTCATCACACAGCGGAAGCAAATGAATGTTACATCACTTCCTCTTTCAACGTGAAACATGTTGTTGCTTTTGCACACCTGCAAATCGCATAGTGTTTCTATATTTTTGTCCCCTGTAAATATTGGAGCATTTTAGATTATACTTATGCTGCATTTTTCTATATATACTGCATCTATAGTCCTTGAGCCAACCTTCTTTTGGAAGCAGCCCACAACTTATGGGTACAACCAGAAGACAGAGATTGCAGTCCAACTGAAATTATTGTAGCGGGTCCTGTCAGAAGATTTTGACAGACATCAAGTACTTCACCTCAGCACCTCTGAACTGCAGCTGACTGTCCCATCTGGCCTGTGATTTGCTATTTTCATTGTAAAGTGTATGAGGTTCCATGTTGTTTTTATACCAATTAAAAGTACCTGTACCTGTACCTGCTCTTTCATTAAAATAATACCAGGTGATCCTGCTTATGTACCGTAGATACTTATTCCTGGTTTGAGGTGACAATGCTCAGTTGTACTCCAGCATTGGCACATGGTCACAGGGGCTCTTGGTTAAAACTAACAGCGGCCACGCCAACACATATGGCCATGCCAACACACACTGTTGATACCATCAGGATGCTGGTCCTGAGCAATAATGTGCCAAGGTTGGAGCAAGGGCATCTAACCAGGAAAGAGCTGAAAAAGGCTAAAGGAGAATACCACCCCTAGATGCAACAATGAATGTAAAAGTAAAATTTTATAAAATAAAAAATAGCAATTGTTTATGATACCCAATGCTAGCCAGTTAAGAGTTTGGATTTACATTGCACTAATTTAGATTTAATATATAATAATTCTGATAATTTATGTAATAAAAAAATGCCAGTTTAAAATATATTAACATGGACACACCTAGCCTCCACCAGCTCATCATTAGAATTAACGTCATATTTTGTGGATATAATGCTTAGCTAACAGACATTATTCAAACTGAAAATCTGAAGTATGTTGTGAAAACAAATAGCATTCCAAATGTGTGATGAAATATCAATGCGTAAAATACATGTTTACAAGACATCAGTGTCTGTACACTGTTGATCCTGTTGGAATTAAGTATTGAAACAATGCATCTGATGCCTTTGGTCAGCATGGCACAGCAAAGGGGGCAGGAGAATGCCCTGCAGTGCAGGGAGTAGGGGAATAGTACAGGGGGGTCAGGAGGGCACACATCAGGAGGATCAGGAGGGCAAAGCATGGGGATTGGGAAGGCACACACCGTGGGGGGGTTGGGAGGGAACAGTATGGGGGTTGGGAGGGCACACACCAGGGGGGTCAGGAGGACACACACCAGGTAGGTTAGGAGGACACACACTGGGGGGGGGTACACACCAGGGGGGTTGGGGGGACACAAACCAGGGAGGTCAGAAAATCAAACACTAGGGGGCAGCGAAAACCTGGGGGCAGTGACAATGCTTTAATAGCCCAATTTCTCACAGTGCAACATGAAGCTTCCCATTTGTCAGCTAACAACAATTCTATGCTAAGCTGCAGTAACTCAGCAGACTTAGCATAGAGGTGCCTGCAAGCTAATCTCTAGATGATTTTACCTCCACGCACACGCGCTTGGCTCCCTCTGCTCAGCTCTGTTACACCATCCTTTTCCAGGTGGGAGAGATCTTGGAGGTCAGACACATCTCCATCCCATCCACTCAAGCAGCAGAAGCCAGAAGGCTCCACCTCCGGAATGTTTCTTAGGTCTGTAGGAGAGCAACTAGGAAAGCGATGTAGGGGAGGTACAGGGGGTGGACATTCCAGTCCCAATGTGTCTGGACAGCAATTCCTAATACTAGTACAGTGATCCGTGATGTATGAGTGAAATAGCTGCAAGCTGTGCCGACCACGGCTCTGATTTCTGGGATGCAACTGGGGACAAGAGCATGGTGGGACAAGCAGTTTATTAGACTCTGTGGCAGTTGGCAAGTATAGGCAGTGCAGGCTCAAGGGGCAGCTTTGGGCACCACAACAATGACTGGGCCCAGGGCAGCTGTCCCTTTTGTCCCACGTTAAAGACAGCCCTGCTTACTCGTTGAAATGTGAGCAATTAGATGCAGGCCTGTTCCATGCTTCTTGGTCATGCCCCAGAATTGAACCCTTTTTTGGAACTCCGTAGTGCATTATGCTACGACATACCTGGTAAAATACATATCTCCATCTCCTGAATGGACTCATTTTGGCCTAATTAATTTCCCAAGCATTAAAGTCTCAAGGTGCTGCAAGCAACTACTAACTCTCATATCCAATGTGGCACGGAAGGCTATTCTACATAAGTAGATCTGCCCAGAAGCCCCTACTATATCTATATAGCTAATTTATCCTATGTTTTTGCATGGAATGGGTGGAGGCCTCCCTGCATAAGGAATCAAAGGGTCAAAACATAAAATAAAACATTTGTTAACTTTTCATTCAAACCTTCTCTGTAGGAACTCAACAATCTATAATGCAATGCTTTCAACATACTCAATGAAATCTACTCAGACTCTTGTCAATGATCCTCCAATTGACATTTCACGCCTCTCCTAAATTGAATTACACATGGTAATCTAAAAGTTGAGGACTACCCCTCTTCCCTTGCTAGTTACTTACTAGTCCAACAGCCATCCATTCAAATATTTATTAATGTACAATTGTACACCACTAGACCAGCTAGGTCTCTTTCAACATATACTAACATACTGTATATTGTCTTCTTGATTCAACCTGATGGTCAAATGTCACTGATCTTATTAATTGCATTCTCACAATAAAATGTATTGAAAAAATAAATAAAAACCCTTTCAGCGGGGGGGGGGGGGGGGGGATCTACTGTAAAATGTTCATTGGGTCTATGGGTAGAGGAATAAGTTGTAACAACTACCACATTATTCACTCTTGCAGGCACCTGGCGCTCACCTCTTCTGTCCTGTGCTCCTGGTTGGGGGTGGGCCCTCACTGTCCTCATGTACAATGCAGGACTGGTTCTGCATTGTATGGAAAGATGTTAAAGTGCAACCAACTGTTGGAGCACCATTGAGAAGAGGCTTCTGGGGACTGGTCGCACAGATAGGATTAAAGGATAAGTAAACCCAAGATCAATTAAACATTAAATGAATTGCAGCTTACCAGTCCTTAGGTGCAATGGCTGCATATTTTCATATAAGGCTAAAAACATTTTCAGAAAGTACAGAAAGAAAAAAAAATGCAATCTTATCTTTTTTTTCTGTAAACTACATAGGCAGTCTATATTTATAGTCCAGCCTGGGAGAGACGGAGAGAGAGAGAGACAGAGAGAGAGAGAAATGAAGTCAGAATGTAGGCAGGTATATATTGTATATATTGTATTTCTAAATGAACAGTCTCTCTCTCTCTCTCTCTCTCTCTCTCTCTCTCTCTCTCTCTCTCTCTCTCTCTCTCTCTCTCTCTCTGTCTCTCTCTCTCTCTCTCTCTCTCTCTCACTGCCCCATAGTAAAACACACCCAACACACAGTTAACCCTTTGATCGCCCCTCATATTTACCCCTTTCTGCCCAGTGCCATTAGTACAGTGTCATGCTTTTTTTTTTAGCACTGATCACTATATTGGTGTCACTGGGGATGTCAGT